TTTAAATAAAATAATAAATATAAAACATATATTAAAAGAAAGTTATAAAATTCATTAAAAATAAAATATGTTTATTTAAATTGAGTTTATTTTTATTTTCATGGGTAGTGACTATTAAGATGATGCGATTTTAAATAGAATAATATGAGATCTATTATTTGATACTTATAAATCTCTTACAAAAGTAATTTCATACACTCATTTTTTATACTCATAAATCCCTTACAAAAGTATCATCAAGTGTAACAAATATAAAATATAAGAGTAAATTACATGAATGGTACCTATGGTTTAGGGTAATTTGTGCGTTTGGTCTCTAACTTATTTTTTTTTTAACTCAGATGGTCCCTACTGTTTGTTTTTGTTACGCACTTGGTCCCTGTCTTACCTAAAAAAGACTATTTTGCCCTTGACTTTTTAATTTATTTAAAATAACACACCCCCAATCCCACCTCCTCACCTTACCTTACCTACCCCACTATTTTTTTTCATTTAAATAATAATCTTTTTCGGTAAGACGGGGACCATACGCGTAACGAAAACAAATAGTAGAGACCAAGGGCATAATAAAAAATAAGTTAAGGACCAAACATGCAAATTACCCGAAACCATAAAGACCATTCGTGTAATTTACTTAAAATATAAAACAAAAGTCTTTTTTGGAAATAGCCATTTAGGTGTGGTCATAGAAGATTTTCATTTTTACATATTTTCCCTCAATTAATTTTATTATTTAATAGTTTTCACCACTTATAATTTTGAAGTTAAATTATTAGTATTTTATACATTACGATTTGGTCCCTTACTATATTTTAAAGTTAATTTTTGATCCGTTACTATGGACCTAGATTCGAAAAACCCGGAACCGGTTAAAGAAATTTTGTAGAACTGGAAACTGGACCGGTATATAGGAACCTATTCCGGTTCGGTTTCAGGTACAGTACCGAGTAAAGTGGGTCTAGAACTGGAAAACCCGAAAACATCAAAGTGGGTAGGTTTGAACCAGATAAAGTGGGTTTAGAACTGGAAAAATCGGAATTTTTGGTAATTAATTACTACTTAGTAGGTTGAACTTTGAAAATTTTCATATTGATATCCCAACTTTGGGGGTCTGTAACTCATTGAATATGAAACCAAAATTGACAAAATCCTCTATTATAATAAAACAGTACAATTATGCAACGTGACAGTTGTTAAGCCCCTCCCAAGCTATTTTTTCCGCTCAAAGTTTCCAAATGAAGTTCCGATAATGCCCTTTGTGCCTCTTAGTACCCTATCCGCTTCATTCTCGCTCTTAATTGGAAACAATTAAGAGTTTCCAACTTCTGTGCACTAAATCAGCACCCAGATCATGGAGATTGTTGAAGACAATCGTTTCCAAAATTATTTATCAATACGATTATAGTTATATACCCATTCATTTTAACCCTAATTTTCTTGTTAGAAATTGAGCAGAGAAGCGAATCAATATCTTAATTGATTACAAACTAGAGACCCCATTCAGTCGGCAATCGTATTGCCGTCGTCGCTCCCATACCTGAGAGATTTAACAGGTGCAATTTTTTTTTTTGTTTTTGCAATGGGTACCAATGGTTTTCCAGTGATCCAACATCTGCAAAGGGGATGCATATCTGTATGGGCTGTGCTTCAAAATACTTGCACTAGGTCTGATATGGTGCTTCATAGCCGTCGGTTGAATTTTTTTTTCTTCAGGTATATATCAATTATAAGCAATCATTTGGGTTATTCTACATATAATCTCACTTTCTTTTATCTTTCTTCCCTTTCTTTCTTTATGCCCTAAAAATTTAAAAGCTGATGATTATGATTCGCAATATCCCCCATTGGACTCAATTTATATACATCGGTAATATTCTCATTTTTAGTAGAACTTCAATTCCATTTCGATTCTTCAACCCACTTGATCCCTATTATTATATTCCCACTTCTTTGATATCTTCACTCAACACCAGTCATCAAATTAGAATCAGTCCCTGTATTGTATCTCTCTATTAATTGCTCTGGTGCCGGCTCCGTTTGAGGTCTGGTCTGGAGTGAGATGAGAGTGCGAGTTGTTTTCATTATAAAGTATAAACACACTTTCTTTTGTATTTTACAATAGGAAAGCCCACATAAAGTTAATTTTTTGTATTTTCTGTTAGGGTTTGAACAATTTTAATCTTTTAAATTCAGAATTCTCTCTATTCCTCTTTCTTGTGTTTGTTTGTGTTTGTCTGTCTATATAGAGATAATCATAAAGAGAAGAAGAATACAAAACAAGCTGAGAGGAGAGAGTGAGAGAGATTTGAAGGTTTTGTTGTTCATAGAGGATGAAGGTGTTGTTTGTCTTCATTTGCTAATTTCCTGCTATTGCTTTGGTCGCTTTCTTTATAAACCCCCCATATGTAAGAATCAGTGCCACATGGTAAAATCCTCTTGCCACGATTTGAGCCATTTCACTATTAAACTACTCACTATATCATCGTTTTGATTCCAATTGATGGTTCCTACGAAACTCATGGGTTTTGACAAGGATTTGAAGGTCTTGGAGAACAGTGCAACCGTGTTCAATTTGGCGTTGGTGGTTTTATCTCTTCTGATTGTATTGGTGAGGAAGATTGCGGCTTATACTTGGCAAAATAGAGTTACAAAGGAGGAGGCTGATGAAGTTGGGAGTAGGGTTTCTGCAGTAGAAACTCAATTTCTCATTGTTGAATTCGGTAAAGTTTATAAAGCATCAGTTTGTTGTTGCTTTTATGTTCTCCTTCTACAGGCTGTGGTTTTTTGTTACGATGGTGTTTGTTTAATTACAAAAATCTGCACAAGGGGAAAAGGGTGTGAGCTTGGAACCTCTGTTCTTGCCCGCATCACAGTTTTTCGCTTGGTTTGTTTTGAGTTTTTCAACACTTAGTTGTAAGGTTAAGACCCTTGAAAGACTTCCATTACTTATCAGGCTTGGTTTGTTTTGAGTTTTTTTTTAATATCGTTTTTCATTGTTTTAGACATCATTGTTTATAATCATCACAACTATTTCTATTATAATTGACTTTTCTGGTCTCATTCTTCCGTCTGGTACTCTGGTTTGTATGGCATATGATGAGCTACTCGGATTCCCCTTCGGGGCATCTTGTATGATGCAAAAACCGAGTTTCTGATGCCACTTTTTACATTTGATTCAGTTCAATATTCATTATTTTTTTATTATTTACTAAAATGGTTACAAGGGTATCTTTAATTTGTCAAAAATTTACTTGATTACTTTATATTCCTTTTTCAGGTTAGAATTTTAGAACTCAATGCGTCCTATTTCCTGAAATCTGGAGGCTATTTTGTTATAAATCAAGGTTAATTCTGTTGGAATAGTGTCTAAGGCTATAACTATATTCGGTGGTGCATGGTCCTTTTGGGTTGCCTTCACCATAGCAACTTGAAGGATGATTTGTTAAGAGAGAGTAAATATTATAAGGAATAATATTTAGCTATTTGATTAATATAAGTCATAAATTAATTGGTATTAATTTGGTGACTTAAAGAGATTAATTAAATAAGAGGGTATAAACTGTCAATTGTTTGATAGTTAGACTTTAGACTATAAATCCATTAGGATGGACTTTGGACGGTTTCTAAGAGCTTTAGGATAGCTCAAAATAGTCCATAAGGATATCTATGGAATGGATTTGGATAGCCTTAAGTGAAGATTATCCAATTAGGGTTTAGGGTGAAACCCTTAAGGAGTCTAAAGGTATAAATAGGCCCTTGGGATGTGGAATTCGTGTACAACCTTTCAGAACCTAAAGCAAGGAACCTCTGGCCGAATTCCATCCCCTCTCCTCTCTCCTAAATCATCTTGCTTGCTATTGGTGTTTGTAAGCCATTAGAGGAGTGACAATTGTGACTCTAGAAGCTCCAAGACAAGAAGATCAACAAGGAACTCAAAGGTATGATTCTAGATCTGTTTATATTGTTATTTAACCTAATTAGCCATTAGAAGTCTTGGATTCAAAAGCATGTTTATTAGAAAGCCTAGATCCAAGCAATAGGGTTTTGCATGCGCACATAGGAAAGTTCTTATGGCTAAAACCCAACAGTGGTATCAGAGCCTAGATTGGTTTTCTACAAATTGTTGCTTGAATAACTGAAACAAACCTGCAAAATTCGATTTTTTGGTTTTGAGTCACTGACTCGTCGAGTTCCATGGTGGACTCGTCGAGTAGGCCTGACTCGTCGAGTCCCCTTGTGCACTCGGCGAGTCCAAGCGTCAGGAAGGGCCAGATTCGGGATTTCTTTGTGTTTATCTTATCCAAACTTTCCATAAACTAATTAGATCAATATGAATCCGATTTTTGATAAATATAAGTGTTATCTTGATCTAGTTAAAGGTAATTATCAACTAATTAAATATTTAATTTCCTTATATGATAATAATTAATTATTTTTTGGTAATTATCTCAAAGAAATCAAAGATAAATCAAATAAAGATAATTAGAATATTAATTGTTAATTGAATTATTTGTTATTTGATCCTCCATGTTTTTAAATGTTTAAAACCTACCCTATAGTTTTGAAATTTATATTTGTGATTAAAAGCTTTAATTTAGACAACTTAAATTTCAAACCCTAGATTTTGAAAAGTTTAAAATACAACCCTATACTTATATGATATTATTAGAATAATATATATATGTATAACTAAATGCTAGTCTTACCGCTAGTAGGCCTCATTCACGAAGCCGATCTATAAGGTGGGTATAAGGTTGCGGCCTATAAAATGGCGCTTAATGGGTGTACACTCACACCCACCGCTTGCTTGATTGGTGGAGGGTCGTTAGCCGAACGGGTAGGATAGGGCAACCTCATCCTCTCATTAAAAGTATAATAAGAAATACGAAGTAACTAAACTTTTTTTAAATTTCCCAATCTTAGTTACTTTAGGAAAAGTGAATTGATGCAATCCCATGAAATTACACTTTGCACCTTGCTAAGATGTTAGTGGAGCGTGTGTGGTTTACCGGCACACTAATTGGTTCTAAGCGAAGGTGGCAAAGGGTGATTCATTGTTTATCATAGTTCGATGGAGCGTGTGTGGTTTACCGGCACATCGAATAGGTGATCGTAACAATGAAGGCACCATGTAAATTTGCATGGTAATTCACACCCGCTTTGTGATCCTCGGCATCCCAGTCACAAACAAGAGGGGCATATCGAGATTTAAACATGCCATTGAATAGTTCAATGAATCTCATCCGAACCTAGGAATTCTCAAAAACACTTAGGACTAAAAGTTTAAGTTTTGTGATGGAGAATTAGTGAATCGTCATTCACTTACCTTCAATTTATTTGCATGTTGGATTACGGCATCCCTTTTCTAGTATGTAAATGTTATTGTTGGATCCTAGCCCTAATTTTTCTTATTGGGTGATAATTAGGGATTCTTGTTCTAATCTATCTTTGTCCTTTCTATAGATGTCAAACGCAAACAACGCTGCTGCTAGTTCTTTCACGTTGATGAGCCTTTGCCAAAAGGTCACCTTCGATGGAACGAACTTTGGCGAATGGATAAGATACATTCGCACCATTGCTCGCTATGAGGATAAAGAGTATGTCCTCGACGAGAAGCTCGAGAAAATCAACCCCGAAATTGCTACTCCCGCCGAAATCACCGCCTTTGAAACCCATGAGCGAGATGCGACGAAAGTACATTGCATCATGATCGCCACCATGAACTCCGAATTCCAAAAGTCCTACGAGGACATGTATCCATACGAGATGCATCAAGACTTGTTGGAGAGGTACCACCAAAACGCGAGACAAGAGCGTTACGAGATCTTCACTAACATGATTTCCGCTAAGATGGGTCATGGAGAATCTCTTACCGTGCACTTGCAAAAGATGCAAAGGTATGTCGACCGCCTTCGCAAGTTAAATGTTGACTTCGGCGAAGACTTGGCGATCGACATGGTGCTTCACTCTTTGCCTCCGATGTACAATCAATTTAGGATGACCTACCACATGAACAAAGAGGAGGTCACTCTAAGTAAACTCCAAGGTCTCTTGAGGGTTGCTGAGAGCAATTTCAAGGACAAGTCTGTTGCACCAACTCCCAATCCATCCGCTGCTCCTGTCTTGGCTATTGGTCAAGGGAAGGGAAAGAAGAGGAAAGCTTCTTCAAATAACTATCGAAAGGTGAAAGCCCGAGATGGTTCCTCTTCTAGTGGGACAAAGTTGATCCCTCTAAGCCCTGCTCTAACCCGAAGGAGGCAGAGTGCCACCACTGCCACAAGATAGGACATTGGAAGAGAAGCTGCCCGGATTACCTGCAAGCCATCAAGGAAGGAAAGATCAAGCCATCTTTCGCAGGTATATATGCAATAAAATCTAACGATTCTAATCATGCTATTTCTTGGGTTCTTGACACCGGTTGTGGTTATCACATTTGTTCTAATGTGCAGGGACTAAAAGAAGTAGGGATGTGGAGCAAGGAAGGATCAATCTAATCATGGGGAACAGAAGATCGTCGCCTGTGACCAAGATTGGAGTGTATTCTTTGGTGCTTAAGAATAGTTTAGTTTTAGATTTGAACAATTGTTGCTATTCGCCAGAAATGGCTAGAAACATCATTTCATTTCATGGTTTATATAGACAAGGTTTTAGATTTTCTTTTAATAATGAGAATGGTTCTATTTTGGCTTATCTAAATGGTGTCTTTTATTTTGAAGCTATACCATGTAATGGAATATATGAAACTGTTATGATTGTTGATAACTTAGGAAATGATGTTTTGAATATTGATTCTTCCACTAGTATGGATAAAGCATCCTTGTGGCATTGTCGTCTTGGACATGTCAACAAGAAACGCATAGCCCAACTCCAAAAGGATGGAGTGTTGGAGTCATTCGACCTTAGGGAAGATGACACATGCGAGTCTTGTTTACTTGGAAAGATGACTAAGTCACCCTTCACGAGTACTTGTGAAAGGGGTGAGGGACTATTAGACCTAATACATACCGATGTATGTGGACCTTTTAGATCAACCACGAAGGATGGGAACCGCTTCTATGTGACCTTTACCGATGATTATAGTAGATATGGGTATATCTATTTAATCAAGCAAAAGTCAGAAACCTTTGAAAAGTTCAAAGAGTTCAAGAATGAAGTGGAGAATCAATTGGGCAGGAAAATCAAGATGCTTCGATCCGATCGAGGAGGAGAGTACCTAAGTCTTGAATTCCACGATTATCTCAAGGAGTGTGGAATAGTTTCGCAATTGACGCCTCCTAGGACACCGCAATTGAATGGTGTGGCAGAAAGGCGTAATCGAACCTTATTGGATATGGTTCGCTCTATGATGAGTCGTGCTTCACTACCTATCTTCTTTTGGGGGTATGCCTTAGAGACTGCCGCCCATATCCTTAACCGAGTCCCTACCAAGAAGGTTGCCAAAACACCTCACGAGATGTGGACGGGGAAAGCTCCCTCGTTGGCACATATCAAGGTTTGGGGTTGCGAGGCTTTCGTAAGACGAGATACTCACGACAAGCTTGAACCTCGAAGTGAGCGATGTATTTTCATCGGCTACCCGCAAACTTCCTTTGGATATCTCTTCTATAGACCGAAAGATAATGTTATCTTTGTTGCGAGGAGAGGAGTTTTCCGAGAGCGAGAACTCATAAGCCAAGGAGACAGTGGGAGGCAAATCGAACTTGAAGAGATTCAAGAATCGATAGATGAAGGAACCTCTACCGCTGGCGTTCAACCCGAGGAGGAAACTCCGGTTGAACCGATTGACGAATCCTTACCTCTTAGACGTTCCGATAGAGTTAGAGTTCAACCCCAGTTTTATGGTTTTCATATTACTACCGAAGGGGACACGTATATTAGTGATGGTACACTAGTAAATCTTGATGAACCTAATAGCTATAAGGAAGCCATGGCAGGCCCGGAGTCTGCGAAATGGAAAGAGGCGATGGATAGCGAGATCCAATCCATGTACGATAACCAAGTTTGGAATTTGGTTGATTACGTGCCCGAACGTAAGACCGTAGGGTGCAAGTGGATCTTCAAGAAGAAGACCGACGTGGATGGGAACGTACACACATACAAAGCGCGATTGGTTGCGAAGGGCTTTACTCAAACTCCCGGAGTTGACTATGATGAG